ATCGACGCGGATACTCATTTAGTTTCTTTAAGAGGTAACGTTCCTCCTTCATTTTTTTGTTTTTTTTTTATTTTTATTATTATTTTTATTATTATTAATATTAATATTAATATTATTATTATTATTATTATTATTATTATTATTATTATTATTATTTTCCTTTCGTTTATATCTTATTAATTCTTTCTGCTTTTTTTTGTTTTGATTAGATTGGTACAGTCTACGTTTGATACGCATCGCAGTCTCGATTAAAGGAAACTGTTCAGAGCAAAAAAGTGGAACACTCGTGAGACCATTGATCGTAATAATTTACTTTCTTACACGCGCATTCTTAAGAAAGTATTGGCAACGCCATTATCTAGAAAATCATTCAATGTATCATTTTTTCAAAGCTAATGGCGGCGATACATGCGCGTACTCTTTTTATTTTTCTACGTTTATGCTCCTGAATTATAAAAGGAGCTAAAAAATTTATACTATCTTTATTTACATAACGATGTTTTAATATAAATTATATTTGTGCGCACATTTACATCTTATAATTTCATTTTTATTAAAATGATTTGTAACATGTATTCATATCTAATAATATATTTAAAAAAACGAAATCCGAATAAATTAATTACCATAACTATCAAATATGAGAACATATGTATTATATAATCATAAAGATTAAAAGAATGAATAATATATATTGTTACATAAATAATGAATTAATATGTCACAAAAATTTAATTATTATACAATAAGATTGGCTTGTGCACAATATTAAAAATATTAAAACATCGAAGTATGTAGCACAATAAAGTTTAACAGAAATACTTTCAATATATGTACTGATAATGTAATGATCTTAATATAGGAAATATTAAAGATTAAAACGTATGTTTATGAGAACACAAATTGAATGGATAGATATTAATTGAATAATTGAACACGATAAAACGTGTCGGTCAAACATGGTGTGCACTTTGCACATATACGCTTTTTCGCGAATGAGATTAATATTAATGTAAAATATTAAAATATTAAATTATCAAAACTAAAACAGAAATAATATCATAACGTCAATATTAATTTTAATTTCAAACTACGTAGTACGTAGATATAGTACGCGTAATAACAATAGTGGCATTCTATTTATTGTTAAATATACTCAACTCTGGACCAAACTACTAAAAAAGCATGACGCACACCAAAAGCCTTGAAATTCATGATATACCCTCCCTTGCCTCCATTATCCTCGAATCCCAAATGGAAAAAAACGAATCAGATCCTTATTGCTGCCGAAATGATACGGCATTGATTTAAGTAGCTTCATCGCGAGAACCGATCCATCTGACAATGCAGAATATAATTGACGTATCGTGAAGTAGAAGGCTCGATCGTCGCACGAGTGATACCGCTCCTCCGTGCGGCACTCTACATCGACTCACCTCCCAGAAGGTCTCCGGGTAAGTACGAGTTCAGAGAACTGGGCGTAGCACGTTGTTGATCGTTGCTGTCTATACCAGCGTTGCTCCAAAGGGAATTACTGCTCGGTGGAGCGCCCCATAATTGACTGGAACTACCTCCCCAAGTATCTGGTGGTGGACCAGTTTTATTTGATGGTCGCAAGCCCCAGCCTGCTCCCGTAGTTGCTCCAGCTTGTTGTTGACCTCCATGACTAAGCTGTTGTAATAAGCTATGTACTTCGGTATCCGCAGGAGATTCTGCGAAAATTGTTGTATTGCCCAGGACGCAATTGTTTAAAGCACCTTGTGCCTGAAATTATCATTAAACATTTTCTTTATTCATTCTATTTTTTTAATGAAACAAAAAAATATTTCTATTACTTTTCATTTATATATTACGAAATGATTATTAATTAATACATATCGCCATCAAAGTAAAATTAATTCTTTTTAAAAAAGATTTTCCAAAAAATCTTATTACCATTTTATTTTTTATTTTGCTTTATACGATATAGTTGACAAGTAAAAAAAAAATTATAAGGATATTTCACCAAATTACTAGAAATTATTATTTCTAATAACTTGACTAATTTAGTTTTTATTGATAAAATTTAAAATATATCAATTTATATATAATAAAATTATATAAATTTATAAAAAATTTTTTTATAAAAATTAAAAAAAATATTTACTTTACAAAACATTATTTTATAAAACAATATGTTGCTAAATATATTTGTTTTTACAATTCTATTTTGAAGCAAAATTTATAAACAAAAACATATAAAATACAAAAATCATTGAAAAAATTCAAAATTTATGTAAAATAAGTATAAAATGTACATACAAATGTATATAAACAATTCATAAGAATGATTAATGATATATCATTTAAGTGAATATAAAAACATCATGCAAACAAATTTTTCATTATAAGATCAGGAAAAGAGTGCACATCCATTTAAAGAAAATTAGAAGTGAGAATGAAAATAGTAAATTCATATTATATAATATAATTGATTATGTGTTAAATTGATTCCATTTATAAAATAAATTTATAAAATAATAATATAAAAAAATTTTATCTTATTAACATAAATCAAATAAGAATATATATTTGAATAAAGTTTCTGCTTTAAAAAATATTAATTTATTCAATGATAAAGCATATCAAACTATTCTTATAATAATGATTTTTTTAAGAAAAATAAACTGAAAAAATTATAAACTTTCTGGAATATTATATTAATATTAATATAAAGTATTTATCAAAATTAAAAAGTTTAACTTAAAAATAAATGAATAAAAATAGTATAATAAAACAAATATTTAACCAATTATTAAATTATTAAATATATAATTCAATTCAAGTTTATAATAATTCAACTTTAATCATATATATCAATACAATCCAAATTATATTTAATACTTTATTCAAATTAATGATTAATGCAATTAATTATTTTCAATAATATTTTAAAATTATTCAGATTTCTGCATATTCATATTTAAGAAATAAATTTTATTAAAACAATTTCATTATATTAGCAATAAATTAGCAATTATATTAGCAATAAAAAAATAAAAAATCTTATTTTATCTTATTAACATAATATTAATTACTGTTATTTAATAATAGAAAATATTAATTACATGAAATGCTTAAATTTTTATAAAATAAACAAATAAAGGAATAAACAAAAAAATTAAAAAAAAGTTATTTAAAAATAATTTAAATTTTTGTTAATATATATATAGTAATATATATAATAATATAATAATATCGATCAATGTTAAACTTTAATCATCAATAATATGCAAAACTTTAATATATAAAAACATATTTTCTTCAATCATACTTCAAAATATTAAAATAGAAAACGATATAAAATTGTTAAAGATAAATGCGATTAATGCTATAGAAAAAATATATAAAAGACACTAAACCTTAATAGCCTCATCTCTTGATGAATATTTGGTTAAAGCAATTCCATGATTAAGATATAATCGAAAATCTTGAACAGGACCGTGTTGCATGCAGAGGGTTTTCAAAGTAGAACCATCGATTTGAGGCGTCAGATTCTTAAGTAGTAACCAGGTAGAAACCCAGGCAGCATTTGTGCTCGATTGAAAGCCCCATGAACTGGATCTGCTGACGGTACCAAAACCTGCCCAGCCATTGCTCGCATTTCCCGTGGCTTTACTGCTTAAGCCTGGTGGGGGGCCACGAACCTTAGTCATTGGTGCTCCCCAGAGCTCTGAAGTAACTGCAGTCGGCGGTGGTGCAGATTCACCCCAAGTATTTTTCGAGCTAAAAATTATATATTAAGTAAATAAACAATTAAATGTAAATATATTAAAACAAATTTATGTAAATTATACTATACTTGTTATTTATAATTAAGATGAAATAAAAATTATTTACATTAATGTTAACAATAAAAATAAATTTAGAAATATAGAATTAACTCTTAAGTTTTAATTAATTTTATGAGCAAAAAGAATATTTCAATGTAAAATTTTTTTTATAAGAAAATGTCTATATAAAAGCATGAAATTAGAAATTAGGAATAATTAAAAATTAAAAATTATTAAAATAAAATTAATGTAATATCTATCATCAAATATTCATGAGTTATGAATAAAAAAAAATTATACTATACTACAAATTATTCATAATAATTTATAATAATAACAAATATATGCCACATATATTACAAATAAATAGAAAAAGAATAAAAATAAGTATTATATATATAAATATTAACGTAATTTTAATATTTTATATTTTTTTTTCTCCTATTCATTAAACTTATTCATTTATATTTTTTAATGAGATAAAAAATACAAAATAGAAAAATTCTGATTCCTATTCTTTTTATAACTAAAGTATTAATTTGATGAAGAAATAAAATTTAATTCTTGATGAACAATATTTATTGTATTGTTAATGTAAAAATAAAATTATTTTATTTACCAGATTTCAGCTTGTAATTATAATTACTATATGAATTATAGTTGAAAAATTAACAATAAAAAAAAAAGATTACCTAGTAAATGCGTTTGGAGTAGTAGCAGGTGGATTAAACGTCCATGTAGAATTACTCAAACTTGGTATTGATGTATCAGGATTGGTAGGTTGTTGTGGCGGTGG